ACACACACACACACACACACACACACACACACATATATATATATATATATATATACACACACACACACACACATGTATATGTTATATATATATTGTTCAAATTATTCTGGTTGAGACAAATGTTTATCTTCTAATATTGTTGTCAATAGGCAAATTAAATGGGATGAAATTAACTTCCCAGATAATTGGGTAATACCCAATGCTATACAATCTTTACAATAGTTAATCAAGATGTTGATCAAATTATTTAAACAATAGATGAAGAAGTAGAAATTACATTTAATCCCTCTAGAACAATATCAAATTATTTAAACAATAGATGAAGAAGTAGAAATTACATTTAATCCCTCTAGAACAATCAGATTATCTGATGTAGCTAACTCTTCTAGAAATTCTATTTCTAGATCAGGATATTATAGAACAAGTGAAGTAAAACCAGTGAAGTAAAAGGATTAAATATCTCAGATAATAATATTCCACATGCATTGTAGAAAGAAAGAAATTCTCCCTCAAATTCAGAAATAAGTTTTAGAATGAAATAATGGATTTTGAAAAAAAATAGTATAATAAGGAAATTCAAATCAAGAATTTCAGCAAGAAAAACATAAAAAATTTAGAACATGGTTTTTTAAAACATTTTCTAAAAAAGAACAGTTAAACTGGAAAAAAGATTATTACAAAAAATTAAAATTAAAACAACAAGTTGAATTTTTTTGTTCCTTGGTTTATAAAGAATTATATTCAAAGCCAAGAAAACAAAATAGGAATGCTAGAAGAACACTTTAAACAGTGGAAAACTACTGGTAAAGTTATACGATCGGTTTATCCACCTTCAGATCCTATATATTTAATAGGAATACATCCTTCAACATTAGAAACTATGGCTTTTATAAAGCCTAATGATATTAATGAAGAACATATGAAGGAATTAAGTAAAATAATTAAACAAAATAATTATACTAATATACATCTTCAAACAATAGAACAGTTGATTAGAATTGAATATGCTATAGATAAATTTGTATATAAATTAAATGAAATAATACCATCTTTAAAATTAATTGAGAAAATAAAGCTCCAATTTCAAATATTGAAAAAGCAACAATAAAACACCTATAGATATATCAGGTTTTTAAAAAGAAGATAAAATAACTTCTGAAATCATTGAAATCTTATCTAAGAAGCTTAATTCTGCAAGAATACATACTTTAAATCAAGCTTCCACATCAACAATAATATCCGAAGACAATAGTTCTTCTCTAGAAAAAGAAGAATATAATAACTCTTCAAGAGAAATTACTCCAAGATAATTATTTGCTGTAGAAAATCAATTTACAGAAATTAATAAAATCAAAAATGGCCCAAAAAGATTAGAAAGATATTACTATAAAAGGTCAACTCTTGCAGATGTTTTATTCGAAGAAAATGATACTTATATCCAGATGGATTATAATGGAAGAAACATTTATGAATGGAATATTGATGGGTTATCAGATACCCAAATATATGCTACTATGCATAAAATGCTTATGTATTCTACAGTTTGTAAGCAAAACGGTAATACTGATAAAATGATAGCTTCTTATATTACATGTGGTTTTACTGGCATCTTTAAAGGATTGTGGGATAATTATTTATCTGCAGAAGCTAGACTAGAAGTGTTAAATGCTACAAAAATCGAAAATGGTATACAGCAAGAAGATGTTGTATACACATTAATGTTATCAATAGCACATCATTTCACTGGAGCATATCTAGATGATGGAGAAAGGATTAGAACTTTATTACAAAATTTCTGTTGCCCACCATTAACTCATTTTAGATGGTATAAAAATACTTATCTTAGCAAAGTTATGACTCTAACTGATGCTAATAGTGCAAATTGGAAAGCAAAATTTATTGATGGCTTACCAACATTATTTGCCGAAAGGGTTCGAAACAAAATTCGAACTAAATATGGTGGTTATATACCTTATGATAATCTATCACATAGATATTTATCCAATGCTTGTATAAAAAAGGGTTAGCTCTATGCAATGACTTAAAATTAAAAAAATCAATTAAAGTCTCAATAAGTTACTAAACGGAAAGAGTTAGGAGAATTTTGTGAGCAATTTGCTTATGATCAACCATTTAAGGGTGATAAAGAAATAAAACATAAAATTAAAAATAAACATAAAATAAAGAAAAAGAAAAAGAAATTCTTTAAAGAAAATCAAAAGAAAAAGAACCTAAAAAGAAATTTAAAAAAGATAAAAATAAAATTCATTGTTATAAGTGCAGAAAAACAGGGCACTACACAAAAAGATGTAATACAAAAAAGAAAATTGAAGAAATTGAAGATGAAGGTTTAAAAAGAACATTATATAAAATTATGATAAACAGTGATACTAAAGAAGAAGATTCACATTCAACCTCAGAATCTGAGGAAGAACAACAATGTGAATGTACAGTTAATAATTATAATGTAGATGCAGAATATTGAAAAACCATAGTCCAAATGAATGGATTATCAATTAATGTTATAAAATCAAATCAAGAATTATTGACAAAACTTATGTCAGAAGAAATCTCCTGAATTAAAAGAAGAAATTATAAATTCTTTATTAAATAATAATAAATAAAGAAACAAAAGAGAAACCAAATAAAAATAATGTATATAAGATGTCTGAAATCTTAAAAAGAAGGCAAAATATTGCATCTACTTCAAAAATACTTTCTTTATCATATCTAAATAAAGAAATTCAAGATTTGAAAAAAGAAGTAAAAAATTTAAAACAGGAAAATAAATATATTCTCTCTAGACTGGATGATAAATCAGCAAAAGAAAATAATGCTATAATTCAAAATAATGATACTGAAACTGAAAGTAATGACTTTTTACAAATATTACAACAAATTACTTCACAAAAATGGTATATAAAAATCACTTTAGTTGTAGCAGAACAAATATTTATACCAGATCTAATAGTTCTAGTAGATAGTGGTGCAGACCTAAATTGTATTAATGAGGGAATAGTTCCTTCTAATTTTTTTAAAAAAACTACCCAAACTTTTAGTGCTAATGGAAATCAATTAGATGTAAGATATAAACTACCACAGGCACATATATGTGTACAAGGTATATGTATACCTACACCTTGTGTCTTAGTAAAAAAATTTATCTCAACATATAATTCTAAGGACACCATTTTTACATAAAATCATGCCGATAAGTCAAATTAACACTACAGGTATTAAAGCAACTTACAAGAATAAAGAAATTATATTTGAATTCATCACAGATCCTCAGACTAGATTATAAATGAAGTTAAGAATGTAAAAATCAAATTAATTTTCTTAAAGAAGAATTAGTATTTGTTCAAATAGAAGAACAAATAAAGAAAAAGAAAGACTTAATAAGTCAAATACAAGAAAAATTAAAACTCACTATATGTAGTGATGTCCCAAATGTTTTTTGGGATAGAAAACAACATATTGTTTCACTACCTTATATTGACAATTTTAATGACAAGGATATTCCTACAAAATCCAGACCATGTCAAATGAATAAGGAATACCTTGAATTATGTAAAAAAAAGAAATATATTCTATTTTAGAGAAAAAACTAATAAGAAAATTTTATTCTCCTTGGAGTTGTACTACATTTTATGTAAACAAACATGCAGAGCAAGAGCGAGGAATTCCCCGCTTAGTTATAAATTATAAACCATTAAATAATGTTCTTAAATGGATCAGATATCCAATTCCAAATAAAAGAGATTTATTAAATCGTACTCATAATGCAAAAATATTCTCTAAATTTGATTTAAAATCAGGATATTAGCATATTCAAATAGAAAAAAAAAGATAAATATAAAACTGTCTTTGTTGTACCATTTGGGCATTATGAATGAAATGTAATGCCATTTGGACTTAAAAATGCTCCATCTGAATTTCAAAATATTATGAATGATATATTCATTTCTTATACTGATTTTATATTATCATATATAGATGACATTTTAATCTTTTCACAAAACATTTGATCAACATGTGAAACATTTAGAAGTATTCTGTAATCTAGCATTACGAAATGGGTTAGCAATATCTGCCTTAAAGATGAAAATATTCCAAACCCAAATTAAATTTTTGGGTCATAATATAGAAAAAGGAACAATAATTCCTATTAATAGAAGTGTTGAATTTCCTTCAAAATTTCTTGATGAAATAACTAATAATAAACAGTTACAAAGATTTTTAGGTGCTTTAAATTATGTTGCAGATTATTATAAGAATCATGCACAAGATACGGCTATACAATATAGCAGACTAAGGAAAAATGCTAAATCATAGACTGAACAACATACTACTGCAGTAAGAAAAATTAAAGCTAATGTTAAATATTTACCATGCATACATCTAGCTAATGTACATTGGTTTAAAATTATAGAAATAGATGCATCCAATATTGGATATGGAGGTATTCTCAAACAAATAGAACCTCCAAATAATAAAGATCAGTTAATCAAATTTACATCTAGAAAATAGGATAAAACCCAATATAACTATTCCACAATTAAGAAAGAAATGTTTTCTATTATCAAATGTTTATCTAAATTTCGAGATGATATTCTGAATCAAGAATTCTTATTGTGTTGATTGTAGTTCGGCTAAAAGCATCATCGAAAAAGATGTTAAAATCTTGTCTCTAAACAACTATTTGCTAGATGGCAAGCTAAATTAGCTATGTATCAATTTAGAATTGAATACATTAAAGGTGAAAATAATCATCTTCCTGACTTTTTTAACTCGTGAATTTTTATAGGGTTCCCATGAGACGGAGTAGTCCCTCCTTTTCAGGGAGGGGGAGAGGCAACCATACATCAGAAAGGAGTCATACACCTATACAATCCAATTCATGACGCACAATTGCAAAAAAGAATAATGCAAGTAGTCCCTCTCAAGCCTTTTATAAAGGCATTAATGATATGATAAGCAAGGAAGATAATCCTAAACCCTTTACTTCTATAGTAAAAAAAATAGAATGGACTTCTAAAAAAATCTCTGATACAGTTCTATATTTAGAACAAGAAGATATTCCCCTAATGAATGATCATGAAAAAATTAGACAAAAATATTTAAATGAGTTATTATCCAACTTTATCATTGAAATCAAGCGCTTGGATGGAAACATTAATAATGCAGAAAGGCATGGAAATAACTCACTTCTAGAGCAATGAGAATCATAGTGTTCCACCCAGTTTTAGTAAAGCAGAAAGGCATGGAAATAACTCACTTCTAGAGCAATGAGAATCATAGTGTTCCACCCAGTTTTAGTAAATACATCATTCAAGAAGTCATAACACTTCTAGAGCAATGAGAATCATAGTGTTCCACCCAGTTTTAGTAAATACATCATTCAAGAAGTCATAAGACCAAGAGATTGGGCAATAAATCCCAATCAGGAAGTACCATTGGTAAAATCCCAAAATACTAAAGAATTATAATATTTCAATTATTAGGATTATAAACAAGCATTTTATAATATCTTCGTATATCAAAATTATAAAAATAAGCACACATGACTAATAAAGCTATGTCCTGAAGCAATTTATGAAGGGCTTCATTCATGATTTTTCTAATGGTGGGAATTATATGGTGCTGAAATGAGCATATTTCCAAAACCTATTATGAAGTTATATTCTTCATGGATCGAATCTCATCCAATAATATCAAAGATGGATGACAATCAAATTATAGATGGTTTATGTACTATCTACTTCTTTGCAGAATTTGAAATATCATGGATATGGACATGGTCATTTAAAACAGATTAGACATATCTCATTTGCCTATATTAAAAAGAAAATTTTACTGCAGATGGTGGTTTAGAATTGTTATTGAAGAAAAAGTTAGACAGATTGAAGAAACAATTCAGAGAAATAATATTGTTCTCGAAACCACCATGACTCAAGAGATTCAAAAAGAAAATCCTACGTCTAAAGTAGCAAAAATAATAAGAAGGAAATATCCACAAGCTTCAGATTCAGAAATACAGCAAAAATGTTTAGAATATCTAAAGAAGCAGTTCTTTGAAGCTTTCGATAATATTGAAACTAAATCTAATAAGAGCATTGAATCCTCTGGGGAAGATACAAATCTTCCAAATGCTCAAGACCCAGATGATGACATTGATACTATGTGGGAAGCTGCTATGGTAGTCTTGGATGATATCCAACCTATGGATATAAAAGGCAAAAGCAATGCCTGAGAAGAATAGATAAAATATCTAAAAACAAGAGTCATACTCTTTAAAGCACATTATACTGGAGTTCAATGTACCAGGTTTTTATCATGAATGAGTTGAGCCTCGGGGAGCCGCTCATTTTATTGATAATGACAGGCACTAAAAACATCATCATGAAGGACACTTTTAAAAGAGATTCCTTACGTTTTTATTCCTTTCCACCATCGTATTGCTGTCAATTTGTATAATTACAATAAAGTAGCTTTGTATTGTACTTGAAAGTGATGTTTGTAAGCTTATATAAGGAGACAAAGAGGTCAGAAAAAATCAGAGTTCTTTGGCAGAAGAAATCAGAACGACCTCAGAAAGAGTTTGTAAGATATAAGTGTGAGTCTACTTTGTAAAATATTGTGGAGATCAATAAAGAATAAGTTATTGTACAACTTGGACGCTTAAAATTGTAAGTATTTTAATCCATATATATATGTGTGTGTGTGTGTGTGTGTGTATGTATATGTATGTATATATGTATATATATTATATATATAATACATACATACATACATATATATAAATAATTCAGCTAATTATAATATATATATAATACATATATATGCATATAATTAATTGATTAATACACACGCACGTACACACCCCCACCCCCACTGACACAAACACATACACGCGCGCGCAAAAACACAGAGATATATCTGTGTGCGTATGTATATACATGTCTCTGTATATGTATATGTATATGTATATGTATATGTATATGTATATGTATATGTATATGTATATGTATATGTATATGTATATGTATATGTATATGTATATGTATATGTATATATACACACACTCATATATGTATGTATCTATATCTGGGATATACATATGTATATATATATATATGAAAAAATGGGTATGCTTAGTACCAAGCACAAGTTTTTGTGCTTGGTAGTGAGGTGGCATATTCCCCTCCACTCATTGAAATCGGGACCCATATTCACATGGGTTAGGGAGTGGTTGGGAATTGGAATGAGTGGATGGGAAATAGGACACCTCACTACCAAACACAAAATTTGTGTTTGGTACTAAGCATACCCATTTTTCTCTCTATATATATACATATGCATATATATGTATATATATATATATATATACATACATACATATGTATACATACGTATACATATACATAGTATGTATAGGTATATATACATACATATACATATACATAGTATATATAGGTATATATACGTATACGTATACGTATGTATATGTACGTACGTGTATATATATGGGTGTGTGTACATATATATGACATATATCTGTATATACATATATGACATATATATGTACACACACGCATATATACATACATACATGTATGTATATATATAGATGTATATATATGCATATATATAGACACACACACACATACAGATAATGAGAATATGTGACAGAAATATCGCTAAGAGACTCTGATATGAAAACTTCAGAGAATATGTGAGCATCTGATCAAATCAACTGTGATAAACAATAGAGGAGAAATGGAAATAAGAAACAGAACACAAACCATAATGTTGAATTCATTGAAATCGCAATGGATAAGTCCATGTTCAGCTAGACGAACAACAAGATTGATAATTGTATCAAACACTTCATCAGGATTTCCCAACTCTTTCACTTGGACCCTGCAAAGATCAAGTAAAAAATTAAAATTAAAATCATGCACTAATCTATATAAAGTAATGAAAACTTGCAAGAGGGCCTGAACAGAAAGAAAGAAGGTCCCTAGACAGTAATGAGAACTTACAATGGATAACCCTGAACTAGGGACATTATCACGCAATGCCGATTACAATCCACAGCTTCTGGAACAGGAAATCCATGCTCTCCTAGAGCCTTTAGTGACGAGACAATGAACCAACTATATCTTAATAAACTGAGAGCAATGCTTAAGAGAACTGAAACGAACAAATTTCTTCAAGCTAACCTTCATAAAGGCATATTCCTTCAGTGCAGCAAGTCGTGACAAGTAAAGCCAATTGTAGCTGCTTCGATGCATCAGATAATCTCGCTTAGACTTCACTGCCCTGAAAGAAATTCTCCCCAACCTATGCAGCTTCATTGCCATGATTGTCCCGTCTTCAGTGGCAACCTCAAATATATCTTTTCAACGTAAAACATCAGAATTTGTTAATTTCTATAGTAGCGAAAGGTAAAACTAATAGTGCGATAACAGAAAGATGAGATCTATCTAATGGCAACAGCACATACTTCAACTCAATAAGAAATTGCATAATAAGGATAGTCAATTTACGCACTGCAGCATGAAATTATGACGGAGAAGTACGAAGAAGGGGATCAAAAGGATATACCTGACTCTTTTCCAACTCCAATTTGGCGGCCAACTGCGGAAAAGACTCCCCGGTTTACGAGAGTTTTGATTGCTAGGAAGTCATAGCCTAAGTAGGTAAGCCGAAACCCATCATCTGAAGACAATTGAATCATCAGAAAGCCATAAACCCTAAGCTGAACCCAAAATTTAGGGTATAAAAAGGGGGCAAGAAAGCTCACATTTTGATGAATCATGGTGGACGAGCTTGTGCTTGAGCAAATTCTTCAGCACCTTATACGTGCCTCCGTGCCTGAAAAACAAGGATCTCATAAAAATCCGATCTTTGATAGCATTAACGTAATAATTTCGAGTACTTACTTGAGGCCGGCTATTCGATCAACAAGCTCAGCCGGAACGATTTCATGCTGAATCAGCAAATTAAAAAATATATATATTCAACATTAAGATTAAGAAGAAGAGAAGATAAAAATTGAAAAAAGAGAGGCGGCAAAAAATCTTTACATTTCTCATGCCCATCTCTACGGCGGTTAAAACCCTAAAATCATCCTTGGAGAGGTAACGCAAAGCATTGACATCGAGCTTCATAGCGATGAACTTTGAGGAAAAATTTAGTGCCTTTTCCCAAAGCCCTAAATAATTTTGAGATCGGCGGTGTCGTCAGAAAGAGGAGAGAGAAGAGAAAAGGAGAGAGGGTCTTTGATGCTCAGATGAAGCCCTGGCTATTACTAATTCGAGAAATCTCCACCGAACTTTGAGGCTGTTGCAGAAGAACCCCGAGGTTTTTCTTCTCCACAAAACCCTCTCAAGATTTCTCACTTGACCCCCAAAAGTAACAAGGTTAAATCTAACTAGTGTGCACCCCGTGCGAAAAAGATGGCCCCCTATTTTTTTAAGTATTGTTTTTTGAACTTACCTCCCTCTAAGTTTTAATATATTTAACTTGATTATTGTATATTTAAAATTAGAAATCATATCTACTCCTCTGTACTTAAAGGAAGACCAAATTTTTAATACATTAGATTTAGAAATCGTATCTACTCCTTTATACTTAGAGGGAAATCTAAGTTTTAATACATTTGATTTAATATATTATTTATGATACAGTAAAATATTGTAGCATAAACAGTAACTTCAAAAATTACAGTGCCGGATTTGAGTTACTGTTTACGGTAAAAAAGCATTGCTTGATTTACTATTCACGCTACATTATTTACTATAGCTGGAGCTGTCGATTTATTGTTTACGCAACCGTAAACACTATAGTTTTTTACTATAGCATTAATAGTGATTCGTTGGATCCTCCTTTTAAGTATAGAAGTGTAGATTGCGTCACATATTAAGCAAGTGATAAAGAATACGAAAATACCCCTCAATCCTGGATAATTATTGCTTTACATTTTTTATAAATATTTTTTGCAAAATATCGTCATGTTTTTAGTACAAATTTAAGCAATGACTAATTTATTTAATTAATTTAGGATTTAATGTTAAAGGTCTAACTTTGTCTTTTTACACCATGCATTAACACCCTTAGAAGAGTGTGGAGAAGAACTTGGAAAAAGCGGATTTTTGGTCATAAGTTCACTCATGCACAGACATAAGTCGACTTATGTTTGTGTCGTAAGTCGACTTACGATCTGCTGTGGATTGTTGATTTTGGGCTCTGG